TACTTTCTTTGTTTTGAAGTCTATTTTGTCTGATACTAGTACTGCAACATCTGCTTTTTTCTCCCTATTTTTTGCATGAAATATCTTTTTCCATCCCTTTACTTTTAATCTGTGTATGCCTTTGGGTTTGAGGTGAGTCTCTTGTAAGCAGCATATAGGTGGGTCTTGTTTTTTTATCTGTTCAGTGACTCTATGTCTTTTGATTGGTGTATTCAGTCCATTTACATTGAGGGTGATTATCGATTGGAATGTACTTATTCCCATTTCAGCTTTAGATTCATGGTTACCAAAGGTTCCAGGTTACTTTCCTTACTATCTAAGAGTCTAACTTAACTCACTTTGTATGCTGTTAGAAACACAATCTAAATGTTCTTTTCTATTTCTCCTTCTTTTTCTTCCTCCTTCATTCTTCATGTATTAGGGTTCAAATTCTGTACTTTTTGTCTGTCCCTTGATTGACTTTGAGGATAGTTCATTTAATTTTGCATTTCCTTCATAATTAGTTGTTCTACTTTCTTTACTGTGGTTCTATTACCTCTGGTGACAGCTATTCAACCTTAGGAACACTTCCATATATAGCAGTTCCTCCAAAATAGATGGTAGAGATGGTTTGTGGACGGTAAACTCTCTCAGCATTTGCTTATCTGGAAATTGTTTAATCCCTCCTTCAAATGTAAATGATAATCTTGCCCGATAAAGTAATCTTGGTTCCAGGCCCTTCTGCTTCGTGGCATTAAATACATCATGCCACTCCCTTCTGGCCTGTAAGGTTTCTGCTGAGAAGTCTGATGTTAGCCTGATGGGCTTTCCTTCGTATGTGATCTTATTTCTGTCTCTGGCTGCTTTTAACAGTCTGTCCTTATCCTTGATCTTTCCCATTTTAATTATAATTACTATGTGTCTTGGTGTTGTCTTCCTTGGGTCCCTTGTGTTGGGAGATCTGTGGATCTCCATGGCCTGAGAGACTATCTCCTTCCTCAGATTGGGGAAGTTTTCAGCAACTACCTCCTCAATGACCCTTTCTATCCCTTTCTCTCTCTCTTCTTCTTCTGGTATCCCTATAATGCAAATATTGTTCTGCTTAGATTGGCCACACAGTTCTCTCAATATTCTTTCATTTTTAGAGATCCTTTTTTTCTCTCTGTGCCTCAGCTTCTTTGTATTCCTCTTCTCTAGTTTCTATTTCATTTTTTGTCTCCTCCACCATATCTAACCTACTTTTAATACCCTCCATTGTGCTCTTAAACAATTGGATCTGAGACCTGAATTCATTCCTGAGTTCTTGGATGTCTTTCCATACCTCCATTAGAATGTTGATGATTTTTATTTTGAACTCCCTTTCAGGAAGAGCCACGAAGTCCATATCATTTAAATCTTTCTCGGGAGTTGTATTAATAATTTTACTCTGGACAAGGTTCCTTTGGCATTTCATGTTTGTATATGGCGCCCTCTAGAGTCCAGAAGCTGTAGTCTCTGGAGCTGGTCAGCCTCTGAAGCAATGTCAGGGGTCGCAGGGGAGTGGTATTGGTGCCTGAGAGGAGGAAAGAGCTGTTCCCCGCCTCCCAACTGCTGTGCCTGTCTCCACTGCCTAAGCCAGTGGGCCAGGCACCCAGGTATAAGTTTTTGTCCCAGAGCAGCTGGATGTGGATCCCTGCTTTCCACAAGTGGCCGGAATGCCAGTCTCCCCAGGAACTCTGCCTGTATTAACTTTACAACCCGATAGTCATGCGAGTCTCATGAAAACACCATGAAATGTAGGTTTGTGCTCCCAGAGCAGATCTCCGGAGCTAGGTATTCAGCAGTCCCAGGCCTCCACTCCCTCCCTGCTCCGTTTCTCTTCCTCCTGCCAGTGAGCTGGGGTGGGAGAAGGGTTCAGGTCCCACGGAGCCACAGCTCTGGAACGTTACCCCGTTTGGTGAGGTCTGCTCTTTTCTCCCGGTGTGTGCAGTCTGATGCCGTCCTCTTTCCTGTTGCTCTCTCAGGATTAGTTGTGCCAACTATATTTTCTAATTGTATCCAGTTTGAGGAGGAAGCCTCTGTCTCTCCTCTCATGCTGCCATCTTTAATCCAATCTCTCCCTGTTTGGTCACTGCAATATTATTCACAATAGCCAAGATGTTAAAGCAAACTAAATGTCCATCATCAGATGAATGGATAAAGGAAGTATGATATATACACACAATAGAATATTATTCAGCCTTAAAATAGGTAATCCTGCCATATGTGACAACAGAGATAAACATGAAGGACATTATGCTAAGTGAAGTAAACCAATTACAGAAGGACAAATAAGGATGATGATTCCACTTCTGTAAGGTACCTAAATTAGTCAAATTCATAGAAGCAGATAGTAGCATGTTGTTTTCCATAGACTGGTGGGAAGGGGCATATGAGCTGTTTCTAATGGGCATAAAGTTTCAGTTTTGTAAGAGGATTAAGTTCTATAGACCTGTGCAACCTGGTGCTTTCTAATGACACTGTACTGTGCACTTAAAGATTTGTTAAGAGAGTAGATCTCATGCTGTCTTAGCATAATTAAAAAAGAAAAACTTTGAAAAACCACTTTGTAAATCAACCAATATTAAAATAATTTTAAAATTTTATGTAAAATTTAAAAAGATATCTCAGGCATGGAAGAAACCCCACAGTAACAGAGATGAAGTGTGTCTTTAACTGAGTCATCAGTGAACTTGAAGATAAATCAATAGAAATTGCACAAACTGAAACACAAAGAGAAAAATAAGACAAATCAGAAGAGTATTCAGCCAAGAGCTGAGGAACAGTATCAGTCATATATATGTAAGTGGAATCACAGAAGACTAAAAAGAGGGAGAATGGGCCAAAAATAATGGCTGAGGGTTTTAGAAACATAACAAAAGATGTGTGGAATCCAAGATGTGTGGAAAGTGCCAAGCAGGATACATACTATTAAAAAATACAGAAACACATATTCAAAATTTTTAAAATCAGAGGTAAAATCCTGAGGGCAGCCAGAGAAAATGTCATAATTCTTGAGAAATCAAAGATAATAATTACAGCCTAGTTCTCATTAGAAACTATGTAAGTCAGAAGACAATGGAGTAACATCCTTAAAGTATTGAAAGAATAAAAACAAAACCAAAAAATTGCCATTCAGAATTTTATGGCGAGCCAAACTTATCTTTCAAAATTAATGTGAAATAATTTTTTAGACAATGAAAGTTGAGAGAACTCATTACAAGAATATCTGCACTACACTAAATGTTAAAGGAATTTCTTCAGACAGAAGACATATGCTCAGACAGAAACTTGGAATTACACAAAGAAATGAAGATCTTTGGAAATGGTTAAAATGAAGGTTTAATATAAAGGACATATTTTTCCCCCTATTTTAAAGTGCATCAACTCTCTGAAGCAAAAAGAGATGCATTCTGGTTTCAGATAAGATGGAGACCTGTACTTCATCCTGTCTTTCCCAATAAATGCAGCTATAAAGCCTAGACAGAATGCATGGAGCAGCTATTTTAAGACTGTGGAAAGGCAGTAGTAGGAGGCAGATTGGGAACAAGACCAGTATCAGAAGCACCATGAAACTGGAGGTGAGTTTCCTGGCTTTTCCTCCAGTAATCCTCAACCTGAGGTCAAGACAACTCAAAACTCAAATGTGAGTCCAAGGTACAGAAAAAGGCCTCTTGTTGGTTTTTAAAAGGTATGACATTTTATTTTACATAAGAAAGGGTATAAACTGAGTGCTTTCCTCTTCAAACTGGGGAAGAGTTAATGATCACATTTGTGTTTATCATGATGCCCTAGGAAATGGGCTACTCGGAGGTAACATATCAGGACTCATTTTCCATTTTCTCCAAAGAAGGTTACTTGCTCTGCAGAGGAGTTATTCCTAATGGTGTACAAATATTTTTTGGAGGAATAATTTCAAATATACTTGAAATTGACATCAATGTTTAAAAATACTATTAATTTCACTTTCACAGCTGAGCTTTGCAACCAGTAGCAGGCTTTATGAAATAACATACATATCTAAAACAAAAGGTAAAAAAAAAACATTAAACAGTAAACAGACACTTCCCCACAGCAATTAAAACTGATTTCCACCGCTGATTTATGCATTATCTAGTTTTTAAAATTAAAGTCAGTATCCCAATGTCTTTTTAAAAGAACAATGAACAAAGGTTAAAGAAACAGACAAAATAATATAATAATCAAAGCATGTAATATATCCAATGGGGATCACCAAATCAACATTATTTTCCATTGGTAGGGGTTATAATACATTCATTTTTATCTATCTTTTCTGTTGTTACTCTTCTCTCTGTTTCATAAATGGGAGTCATTCCCAGAGTCAGCTTGCTGTGACACTCATTTGAACTCAGTTGTTAACTTTTTTACTTCTAAGAATACTCAGGAATACATGGTTCCCAGAAGCCTGGGCTGTGCAACTTTATGGAAATAAAATGTACGCAGATGAGTACACACACACACACACACACACACACACACACACACACACACACACACACTTTAAATATACTTAACCTCAAAGAAATGGCTCATGTTTCCTAAGACACTGCTTACAGATTGATAAGCCTCCTAAAAAAGGTTTTTGGTGGCCTGGGATTTGGTCTGGAGCTCACAAAGAGGAACACAGAAAATGTCACAACCTTCCCTGAAAGATAGGGTCAGGGGACCAGTCAGGACAGCTATCTTGTGCATATTACTGGGATGACTGCACTGCAGCCTCATTTACTACCATGGATAATTCTCCATTCTTAAAATTGAAGGTACTGATGGCACTGGAAGGTAATTGTGAGGAGTAAAAGAAAAATAGCGAGAGAAATTTTGTCCACAGAAACATCAAGTTTGGTAATTAAAGTAGAAATATATGGAGTACACATTCATTTTTTTCAATGTAAGTTGATCAACAAACACTAGAGTGGGTTTCCCGGTTGCTTTTTGAGGAAATATATCAACTACTATTGTCTATAACCAGGGAACCTACTTACTGTTTTGAATACAGTGGAGAAATCTATTCTTCTGCACTTAGTAACCTGCAAAAGGAGTTAAGAAAAATGTTTTTGACTGTTTAGTTGATCAGAGATTTCCAAAGCTACTTATTTGTGGCTAAAAATACTACTAAAATCTCTACAAACCCTCAGAAGGGCCACAGTTTCCTCTTCTTTTTCTATTCAGTAACAAAATCACCACCCACCAAAAGAAAAAAAATCCCAAGAAAATTAAACCAAAAGAATACCAATTTGATTCCTATTAACCTATCATGGAAAGCCTGGGAGTCACTGGCTAACAATCTCTAAATGGGGTTTCATGGAGCCCTGGAGAGTTTGCAAAAGCAAGAACACAATAAAAGTGCGTGTTGCCCACATGGCCAATTCCAGTGGGGTGCCAAATTATCCTATCTCCCTAAAGTTTGTGGGATTCCTCTGTTTTCTTTGAGGCAATTGTGGGGATGGTGGCAGTGGCCTTGCGAAGGCAATGTTGGCTGAATGGCACTGCAAACCCCCAATACTAGTCTTAATGGCTATGACACTGGAAACAATTTTGTCAGGGCAACTCAGTTGGAACAGATCTCTGGTTTAAATATGAAAATGCAAGAGGTGACTGGTACATAGGAGGTGTGTGAGCTTGGGAGAGAAGCATCAGAATTAATATCAAATTCCTTTGAGCAGATGCTTTCAAGGCTGCAATGGAAGTACTTATTTTTGAGAAATGCAAGGTATGCTTGTTCAGTGGAAGAGAGAACAGGTTATATCTTTTATGTAAAAGTGTTAAGTTTAGTAACCACTTTGATATAACATTATCATCATTGCCTATTTCTAGCATTAAAAGTGGTTACTAATAGTGGGAATCAACAATGAATATGCACTATCAGTGTACATTTCCACTGAATTCAGTTGTAAGTTACTTTAAATGCAGTAGACACCTCTTCTGGCTAATGGGCAGGGGCTTTTTTTATATACTTAAGAGTTTGCTGAGAATAAACAATCAACATTTCTACTGGAAATCTATAGATACCTGCTGTGTCCTGTAGCACTTGCATTACAAAGTAAAATGAAATTTTAACTGAAGTCCAAAGAGTCACATGACTCATATCTTCTTAGTCCCTGTTTACTCCTAGAAGAGGCAAAAATAGTAGGAAAATGTTAATTAAGGCAGTCATGAATGCATATTGGTGGATGGGATGCTCTGCCCACCTTTGTGAAACAGTTTAGAATAAGAACTCTGAAAAGGACCAAAGGTATATATAGCAAGTGATCAACCCTTACATGCTTAGACTGCACAGATACGTCATACTCTGATTACAAGGGAAGGACCCTTTATGCCTTAGTGATTCCTGCCCTGCTTACCTCAATCTGCTTAGCATGCAATGCCTGAGGAACTACAGGGCTTGGGAGAATATATTAAGGTTTTTTTTAATGAACATATGCTGAGTTATGTTTAAGGAGAAATAATTGCCATGAATCCCAAAGAAAAACATCCTCAGGCATCATGGCTATGAAATGGAGAAAGCTGAAAAACTACAGAGCAAGAGGATTTGCGTAGGGAGGGGGCAGGGGGAGTGCTTGACCCCAAGTATCTGGCTGAGGCATATAGCTAAGCAACTGTATCAAAAGGGCTTAGAGGGAGCCCTGATATGCTGGTTGGGATGTAACCAATGGCCAAATGTCTTATGGGGTACTCAGTGCGGGGTGTGTGTGTGTGTGGGGGGGATTACTTGAAGGAAAATCACAAAAGAATCTCCTATGGCTCTGGGAATACCTTGGAGTGCCAACAGCTCTGGATGGATCATTACCCTGCATACTAAATGGGCCTGGGAGCTCTTCATCTTTGTTATGAAAACCAAATAGCTAGTAAGAGATTTGTGAGTAGTAAAGGGAGAGAACTGTGCATTAGGAAGGAGCTCCAAAACTGCTCAATTTCAACCACTTAAGAGCTAACCTTAAAAAAACGTTCAGACCAAAAAAGTCACAAATCCAAATGCAAGGAGGCTTGGCCTATAGCCAAGCTGGTTGCTACCCTTGCTTTTTGTGGAAGCAGTGGGATGACACTTAGCAGGCTATGGAGTCCTGCTGGGTTCTCCAGGCTTTGCCATTTGCCACCATGTTCCCCTATCCCCCTTGAGAAGCAAGGTTTTTCTGTATAGGATTGAGGAAGTTAAAGTTGCCCAAATGCCAGTTGAGAAACTAAATAAATTTCAGTAATAGTGCCTTAACCACTAGGTAAGTCAAGGAAGTAAACCCCAATGTTCAAAGTCCTTGTAGGGAAGGTATATCTTTCTACCACTCTATGTTTTATATAGAAGAAAAATTTTTAACAGAAAGTAAACATTAATGATCTTTACATAAACTAAACAAGGTTTGAAGCCAGTTAAGTGACATTCCCTAGCCAAGGCCCAATGGAACAGGTGAAGCTGAGTAATTCTTTCTTTTTTAATTGAAGTATAGTTGATCACAATGCCACATTGGTTTCAGGTGTACAACATAGTGATTCAACAACCACACAAACCAGAAAATGCTCAGCATGACAAGGGCAGTCACCATCCAGACATTACAATACCACTGAACATATTTCTCATGCTCCATACCTTACCTCCATGACTTATCTACTTTATAATTGAAAATATCTTTATCCCTCCATTCTGATTGCAACCACATCTGTTCTCTCCATGTTTGACTCTATTTTATTTTTTAGATTCCACATGTTAGTGAAATCATGATATTTGTCCTTTGTGTGACTTATTTCACTTAGCATAATATCCTCTCAGTCTATATATGTTGTTACAATAGATTGCATTCTTTTTAATGGAAGAGTAATATTCCATTAATACATGTACCACTCTTCTTTATCCATTCACCTATCAATAGACACTTAAGATTGCTTCCTGCACATTTTTCAGTCAGATTATTTGTTTTTTTGGTCTCAATTTTTTTGAGTTCTTTATATTTTTTGGATATTAACCCTTATTGGAAATATCATTTGTAAATATATTCTCCCATTCAGTAGGTTGCCTTTTCATTTTGATGATGGTTTCCCTTGCTATACAGAAGTTTTTTTTTTTTTAACGTGGAATGCTTCACAAATTTGTGTGTCATCCTTCTGCAGGGGCCATTCTAGTCTTCACTGCATCATTCCAATTTTAGCATATGTGCTGCTGAAGCAAGCACTGTAGCAGCTTTTTAATTCAATGCAGTCCCACTTCCTTATTTTTGCTTTTGTTTCCCTAGACTGGGGAGGCACATCCAGAAACAATTTGCTAATGCCAGTGTTCAAGAGTTTACTGCCTGTATTTCCTTTTAGGAGTTTTATGTTTTCAAGTCTTATATTTAGGTCTTTAATCTATTCAGTGTTTATTTTTGTGTCTGGTATAAGACAATTTCATTCTTTTGCATATAACTGTCCAGTCTTCCTAGCACTATTAATTGAAGAGACTATCCCCCATGTATATTCTTGCCTCCTTTGTCATGTTAATTGACCATGTAAGTGTGGATTTATTTCTGGGCTCTCTACTGTGTTGCATTGTTCCATGTGTCCATTTTTGTGCCAGTAAAATACTGTATTGTTTACTGTAGCTTTGTAGTACAGTTTGAAATCAGGGAGGGTGACACGTCAAGGTTTGTTCTTCTTTCTCAAGATTGTTTTGGCTATTCAGGGTATTTTCTAGTTCCATATAATTTTTAGGATTATTTGCTCTAGTTCTTTGAAAAATGTCATTGGTATTTTGATAGGGATTGCATTGAATCTGTACATTTCTTTGGATAGTATGAACATTTTAACAATATTAATTCCTCCAATCCATCTTCAAATTCTTCCATCAATGTCTTATAGTTTTCAGAGTACAGGTCTTTCACTTCCTTGGTTAAATGTATTCCTAAGTATTTATACTTTTCTATGTAATTGTAAATGGGATTGTATTCTTAATTTCACTTTCAATTTTGTTATTAGTATATAGAAACACAAATTTATGTACATTGATTTTGTATCCTGCAACTTTACAGAATTCATTTATTAAGTCTAATAATTTTTTGGTGGAATCTTTAGGGTTTTCAACATATAGCATAGTGTCATGGGCAACCAGAGACCTGTTTACTTCTTCCTTACCAATTTGTACACGTTTTACTTATTTTTCATGTTTAATTGCTGTGCGTAGGAATTCCAGTACTATGTTGAATAAAAATGGTGAGACTGGGCATCCTTATCTTGTCCCTGATCTTAGAGGAAAAGCTTTCAGCTCTTCACCATTAACTATAATTTCAGCTGTAGGTTTGTCATATATGATTTTTATTGTGTTGAGGTACGTTCTCTTTGTACCCACTTTGTTGAGTGTTTTTATGATGAATGGATGTTGAATACTGTGAAATTATTTTTCACATCCATTGACATGATCATATGGTCTTTATCCTTCCTTTGGTTAATGAGGTGTATATCACTGAGCTATTTGCAAATGTTGAACAATCCTTGCATTCCTGAAATAAATCCTTTGGTGAATGATCCTCTAAATGTATTCCTGAATTTGGTTTGCTAAAACTTTGTTGAAGATTTTTGCATCTATGCTCATCAGGGATATTGGTCTGTAATTTTCTGTTTTTGTAGTGTCTTTGGTTTTGGTATCAAGGTAATGCTGGCTTCATAGAATGAATTTAGAAGCATTCTTTCCTCTTCAATTTTTGGGAATAGTTTGAAAAGAATAGCTATGAAATCTCCTTTAAATGTTTGGTAGAATTTACCTGTGAAGCTATCTGGTCCTGATATTTTGCTTGTTGGGAGTTTTTTGATTACTAGTTCAATTTCATTACTAGTCATTGGTCTGTTCAGATTTTCTATTTCTTCTGGGTTCATTCTTAGAAGATTGTGTGTTTCTAGGAATTTATTTATTTCTTCCAGGTTGCCCAATTTATTGGCATATAATATTTTCATAGTAATCTCTTACAGTCCTTTCTATTTCTGTGGTATCAGATATAACTTCTTTTTCATTTCTGATTTTATTTATTTTATTTCTCTTTTGTTCTTGATGAGCCTAACTAAAGGCTTATTG